CTGTGGTAACTGTGCGCTCTTGGATGGTTTCCCTGTCAGCAGCTCGTCTCTGGCTGTCTTCACAGAAGCTGTAGCCGTGTGGGTCTTTCTAAATCAGTGATATTATATCTGATCTTCCTCTCTAACCTATAGAGAGACAGGCATGAAGCCTTAGACAGATGTGGACGCAGGCAGGTTCCAGTCAGGTAATGTGACAGCCTGTTATGACAGAAGGGCCCGTGCGAGACAAGGAGAAGCAGGTAAGAGTCAGTTCTGTAGCCTGAATTGAACGTACCCTCCCACTGCTACGGAAAATATCTACCAAAGGCTAGATAAAAATAGACCGCAGCCACACCCTGAGTATCCAACCTCACTGAATAGGATTTTACACATAATACATGTGGTGTAAAAGAAGATTCCCACAGTTCATCTAGCAGGTTAGCCAGAGCTCAGCCAGTTCCTGGGATCACAGAGATGTGGATTATGAAAAAGGCATGTCTTTGCACAATCCCTCCTGCTCTCCAACTCCTCTGTTAGAGAGCAGGAGGGACTGCTTTTCTGTCCACCCCTCAAGGGTTGAACCTGCGTTACAACCCAGCTGGAATCCCTACTCTGTCAGACTTCTTTAAGCTAGCTGGGACTCCGCTCTCTACAGCCCACAATTTCACAACAGCAATGGCCCGTTGACAGGTTAATGCAGGAGTCTACCAGTCCACTGTATCACTCTGGATGGTTACTAGGATACAGGAGTGTTTGCTTAGTGCTGTTGTGATCAAGAAACGCAGATGAAGAGTCAGACACGCCTGAGTGTAATGTGGACATGCATCAGATGGCAGCGATTTAATCTTAAAAAAGTGACACTATAGAGACAAATCTTTGAAGGCCACAAAATAACAGGCCTGTTTTTAAAAAAGAGAAACATCACTGTAAATACAAGCTCTGGGCAATGAATATGAGGACAATCTGCCAGCATAAATTAGCTAAAATATACGACTTTGAGTTCTTGTACTCGCCTGTCAATGTGCTGTTCGGAGCACTTACACCCCCCTCGCTGAAATAAGACTGTAGAGTCATGTTTAAATAAATTCTATGCATCCATGTTTCTCATATGCTACGGTTTTAAATGTCCAAGCCTATTTCTATTGACCTTAACTTTTTTCTGTATACCTGCAATTCCTAAATGTAATGTTACCGTTTTTTAAACAGTATATGAAGACTGTCACTTTAGTAGCAAACTGCTGGCTAAGGTGTTCTCTCAATAGCAATATCAGTATTTATTCACTTTAATGAAACGTTTTCAAAGCTCCATCTGTCTGAAAGTTGATTCCAGTGAAATTGGAAAGAAGAGCCGGAGGGACAGCTGCAGCCAAGACCAAAGCCACTTTCTACTCCTCCCTGAGCATGTGTTTGTGGGCATGAATCTCACGTCTCAATGTGCGTTGCTTCTATTTATAAAACTCTGACCCTGTGGCCTGTGTAACTCCTCCAGGTGCCCTTTGCTGTGAGTCTCCCACCATCACCCCTAGCGGGCTCATCTGTACTCGCAAGATTTGTGTGTAGACAATGACGTAACACACCGAGATAAATATGCACAGCCCGGTCCTACCCGGGGCAATTTGTGCTAACATGTTGTTATCCTACTATTTTCAACAGCAGAAAAATAAAACAGTGCATGAAAGTTGCACTAATTTCACATTTTTTATTGTTCTCGTCATTTTATGTCATCTTTACTAGGCAGCCACACACAGCATTGACATGTCAAATTGGACAGAGCTCACCATGTTTAAAAACCTCTCTCACTCCAGCCTAATCTGGGCTACTTGGGACATTTATGGATCACTTACACCACTGGCTGTAATGTTACATGAGCTAGCATGACCATAAAGTCATCATCTATCAGTCCAGCCTAAATGTTGCCCAAAGAAAACTTTAGATGTGGATTGCTTATTATTTTCTCCTGAGAAAAGGCTTTACTTGTGGTTTCCTGACTTTTACTTTTAACTCAGAGTCGCCAGGTTCAGGATTTATGTTTCACTGTACGTACAATGACCCCAGTTTTATAAAAATTTGGAAGGAGGAAATTAGAGGTCATCCATATATATACTGTATGTATTTAAGACATTCCTGCATCTATCCATTTTCTGCCGCTTGTCACGGTTTGAGTCACGGCGGCAGAGAAGCCCACACTTCCCTCACCCCAGCCACCTCCTCCAGCTCATCCGAGGGGACACCGAGATGTTGCCAAGCCAGCTGAAAGATGTGTTCTCTCCAGTGAGTCCTGAGTCTCCCCTGGGCCTCTTCCGAGTACGACATGCCCGGAATACCTCATCTAGGAGGCGTCCAGGAGGCATCCTAGTCAGATGCCAGAACCACCTCAACTGGCTCCTTTCAATGTGGAGGATGAGCAGCACACTCAAGAATAACTGAGATAAAAGGAAGGTTGGTGATTGGCTGTAGTTAGCTAAGATAACTCGGTCAAGTGATGCTGAAGTGAAGTAGTGGTTTCATTATTGCCAGCTGGAAGTCCTGTGGTACATGATTGATCAATTTCAAGATCGAATCATTAGTTATCATTAGTTGTTAAATGGATGCTATTAGACAGTGAAGAAAGTTGTGAGGTTATTGCACAGTTAAAGACTTTCCACATTGCTGTTTCGTATACTGTGTTCTCTGCCCACAGGGACTATACTGATACAAGAGCAAATAATCATTTTAATCTCGTTTCATAAGCAAATGAATATGCAGTCGAGCAAACAATACCGCAGAGGTTATTTCTGTACTCAGCTATGATTCACTAAAGAGAAAGCAGACAGGACAAAACAACATCCCCGCGGTGTCCATCTGCTGACCAAGACAAAGCAATTAGAGAAATAATGGCTTAAAGGGATTACCTGCTGATTATTGTCCAGACAGCATGCAACCAGAACACAAAGTCTAAGGCTCCTCTGAAAGAGGTAAAAGGACTGTGCGTGTGCATTTAAGTACAAAGAAACACATAACCAGCGTTTTGGTTCTTTTCATTCCATCAGCATCTCCGTTGTTCGCTCCATCTTTATAGTTCGTCTCGATATATAGAGTGAGGGAAAGTTAAAAGCGGGACAACGTTGTTTGTGGTCTCATTCTACTCTTCCACATACACACTAATAGCTGCCGGGCTGGTCTTGGCGGAGCTGCTGCTGCTGCTGCTGGTGCAAACTGTCCTGAAAACATCCAGAGGATGTGGTCTGAAGGACAGCAGTGCAGAGAGATCCAGTGCCTGCTAATAGGGATTAATGCTGTCAGAGGATCAGCTGTGGCGTACCGGATATCTTTGTAAAGTTTAACAAAATACCACAGCTACCTAACAACATGCACTACAATGCGTTTGCAAGAAGGGTTTCTGAGCCAAAATGAGTTAGGAGTTTGTAAAAGGATCCTTATTTTCTGCAACTGCTTTCCTAATAAAAGGCTTCTTCAAATATGACCCGTGTTCTCTGGACTCCAAAACCTGTGCTGTGTTTCCTTGTCTGCTATAAAGAACAACAAACATGTTTAATGTGGCAGCTACTAGTGCAACGGACACAACAGTTAGGTCTGTGGAAGACACCCGCCAGCAGCTGACAGGCAGGATCAGTGTCTGAAGTCAGCTGCCGAGCAAACGGGCACCCTCTCATGAATGACAGCTATTCACCTCTCCCTAGAACATCATATGAGTGCTGCCTCCTACTCAGCACAGCACAATGTGACACTGTGTCTTCTGATACAGTACAGCCTGGTGGAGAGGGGGTGACAGAGAAACAGATAACCTGCACTGTGACCTTGAGGACAGCGATCGTCCGCCGGCGACCAGAGGTGATGTCAGCAAGAGTTACCTGACCTGACACGAGGCGGTACAATGGTGACCTAATGCATGCAGACACTTTTGCTTCTAAACTTGGATAAAATATGTGTCATGCAGTGGAAAGTAGGGCAGCACTAGCTACTGGCACTTTCTTTCTGTACCCTTCTCTAACCTTGCTTATCTCACTCTCTCACACACACACAGAGATAAATGTTCATTTGTTATGAAAACAGATCCTCCTGGAGATCCATGCCTTTCCTCCATTACGTCAGATGATGCTCATGTCACACACACGTGCAGAAAATCTAAACTTTCTCTTATCGCTGCTGTTTCTGCATCGCTAGCTCAGAAATCCCCCTGATACCCTCACCTCACTGTTATGCAGAGAAGACAGGCAGAGATGACAGAGCAAAGATAACCTGCACTGGTTGGTAGAGATAAAAAGGAGATAAAAGGGGTGGAGAGAAGGGAAATGTAGGTTTTAGACCACACAATAAGGTTGAAGGCATTTCTGGTAATAAAAACGTGATTGAAAATCCAGGAAAAGAATGTGTGTGGTATTTGAGACAAATGAAGCCAGTCAGTTTCATGCAAAATTCATATGCGCAGCCAATGCTTAAAGTGAACACAGTGGCATCCTTCTATGACATCAGTGCCAGCTGGCCCTTAGCTGGGTACCGCAGAAGATGTCTGCAGTGTCAGTCAACTATTCGTGCTGCCATTGATTCATACTGTAGGCAGCAGCAGCAGCAGCAGCTCTAATGGTATGTAATAGTGCAGCATGCAGAGAATTGCATAAGAAGAAGCCATGCTTGTAAACAAGGAGGGCGAGGACCACAACCTCCCACAGCAGCGCCACTGCAACAAAGCTAACAGCTGTGAGGGCTCATCGTAGGCTGTGTCAACAATACTTGCCTCATTCACTGTCACGAAACTGCAGGAATGTCATTTTCTGACACACACACACACACACAGAGCGCACAAATGTCTGCAACTGCACCCTATTCAGGAAAACCCAAACATCTACCTTGGTTACAAAAACAAACAATGTGGGAAGACACCTCGTCTGTGGGACTCTGGTTGAGAAACCCGTCTAGTAACATCAGTACATTCCCGAGATGTGACTCTTATTACAGTCAAAGAATACACATGTGCAGCAAAGAGCAGATTGAATGACAAGCAGATAACAGGCAATACTCACAGGAGCTTTAAAGATTAGTTAAAAAGAAAGAAATCCTCGTCCATCATCAGTAAAAAGACTCCTTTCACAATTCTCCTCCTCCCTCCTCTCAATGCTTTTTGTCTTTCACCAGCAAACTGAGAGAAAGAGCGGCTGAAGGCAGACAGGAAGATCTGCAGTGCTGAAACTCAGTGTGCTACCTCCTTCTCCCTGTTTCTCTCCTCCCTCCCCGGCCTACCTCCCTCGCAGTTTTCTCCAAGGTCAGTAGGCAGAACCGACTGCTTGACTCCTCCCTTAGTGGACAATACCCTCCTACAGGCTGGACGCACAGGCAGTAATTACCATCATGATCCAGATTAACTCCTGGGTGTGTTTTTGTTGTGTGTGTCCAGGCTGCGCTCAGGGACAACACACAGGCAGGATTACCGTAGGGAAGGTGGGGAGAGGTGGGGGACGGTTTAGATACCGGGCAAGAGGCAGCAAGCCTGGGATACTCTGCAGCAAACATTGTCTGTTCTTTCATCATGCCCGAGATATAACTCAAACTAGCAGCATCGTGAAATTAAAAAGACGGATTACTAAGGAAAAACGAATTCATGTCTTGCCACAGCATGACTCCTGTGTATAGAGGAGATCGGAAACAAAATCGAAACACAATAAATGAACGACTTAAAGTCGATGACTATAAGTCATCAAATCCCTTATTAGGGTTTACTTCTCAAAACTAAGACCAGATGAATTTGCTGCCGTTTTGGAGCCATAAAAATAACCGAATGTGCGCATGGACTGTGAATATTGACCACTCAGGAGTGTGCTGTCAAATACTTGCTGAGTTGTGCAAAGTCAACCCCTGTAGAGACAGATCAGGAGATTTACGGAACATTTAGATGCCTCACTCACTGGCTTTAGAAGCTGTGATGGGGATACGAGTCAGTGAACGAGGAGCTGGAGGTTATTTTAAGAGAAATATAAACGTGTAACAGTCACCGGCGCATCTCGATTGATTCATTTAATTGGTGTGTATTTGTATGTTCATATTTTCCAGATATTGGTGGTTAGAAAAATCCATCTCACCCAAAGGCTAGTGGAAGCATCACTGATCCAAACAGACTCTGCTGTATGATAAACATCTGTTGCATGTTCACAATTCAAAAAGACGTAAAGAGCCCACCGACTGACCTGCTTTCAGAGACGCCTAGAATCATCCATGGGAACTGGTTACGTCATGTGCAGCGGGGGAGCGCGATTTGTCCTTTTAGTGCAGCTAGTTTTCCTGTGATGTGCTGCCACCCTGTGGTTTTCTGGTGTAACTACAACACCTGTAAGCATGTGACGTTTTGGATGAATGACGTCAGATGTTATGATTGCTCAAATGAAACCAAAGCAAAATAAAATCTGAAGTAATTTTCACTCTGGCAATGTACATTAATTAAAAGGCAGCTCAAGTTACAGCTTACTTTGTATTTCACAAATTCTGAAATAGCATGCTCAAAACCAAGCCAAAGAAATACAACAATTAAACATGCAAATGGAAAGTTGGGCCAGCCAACGGATCATTTTTACATAGCAGAACACGTAGAAAAGGACTGGAAATAAACAACAACAACAACAACAAAAAGCAACTGAGGATGAACACAAGGATGTAGTTACAGTACAGGACCAGCAGATGGAGGCGTACAGTGTGAGATGGATAAACCATGAACATGTAATGGACAACAAAGCTACAGTGTCACTGTTACCTGATGTTCCATCGATTCGTTTACAGTTCAACTGCCCTTACATCCACTGACAAACAGCCATGTTGGAATAATGATGCTTTTAAATAATTCTGTGTTAGAATTGGGAGCGTAATAGTAGACAGTCTGGTGCTTAATCAGTTCAGGTGAGTCCAAAAGGCACGTCACATGGAAACGAAACATGGCATGAGAAGAACACCGTGGCCACATCAGTAAAATCACCTGGAAGTCGAGGCTTGTGCAGGGAACATTTCGAATTTGCCATATGATCCTGGCACAAACTGCAAAAACACATCTTCAAGTCCTGCTATAAAAACCCCACAGTTCCTCTTTTATTTTAATCGAATGAATTAAAATTTTAGGCCTCCGAAACATCGCAGCACATCCTGTGGAAAAGACCTGGAATGACTTCTAACCAGCATGATGACTAAGAGCCAGGTGAACACAATTAAATGATCCAAATCTATTTAAAAAGCATGTAAAAATGAGTAGTTGAAGTAAACTCTTAATGAAATACAGTACACGTCTTCCCTTCCTGTGCTAACAAAAAGGCAAATCAAACTTCCAATACCGCAAGAAAAAAACCTCCATGTGTATTCAACACAGAAATGAGCTCAAACAGAACACTGGTGTCTGTGACTTTCCCTAATTTACACTTCTTCCATGTGACCTTCTAAAGTGTCTTTTTACGGATTTGTCCGTAAGGAATCTCTTAATGAAAAACCTGAGCCGTACCAAGTCGTCTGCATACAGTGCATCACATAACCACATAATGAATACATACATTAAATATTGACCATAATCATCAAGTATGTCACCTTTTATTATTTGTACCACATCTGTGCCTGCGTCTTTAAAACTTGCTCAGAAACGGTTTGATCTGCTTAAAGGCTGATTTCTTCTCCTGTTTGCTTAACCATCAAGTAGCTTCTCAACACGAATAAAAAAAAACAGCACTTTAACATGAAAAAGTATATATTGTAAGCCGAGAGGTCGAACACTGTTTTACTGTAGTAAGTAAGGACAGAATAGGTAGCATTAATGAGTGTTATTACTGTGTATGGATGCCCCTTTTTTGCCTGCTGTCTGAACTGGCTTGCTGGCTGTGAACTATGGTCTTACTGTAGGCTCTAACAGCAGGTATGGTCACCTGAACTGTATCACAGTGTCAAGGCATAACATGGCTCATCATGGCAGAAGACAGGAAGCACCTGATGGTGGAAAGGAAGTTAGGCGTCTGCATCAAAAAGAAGAAATACATCAAGTTATGTGATGTAAAAAGACATTGTGACTTCAGTCTGACACTGTATTTCTGTTTGTGAAGGCGACATAAAGTTGAAACTATGACACAGAGTCAGAGGAAATGCAGCAAAATCAAGTCCGACGTCCACAGTACGTGACATTAGCGCTCCCTGGTCCACGGTAAAGAACAGGAAAGAAACACGGGCATGTCGAGTTCACGCGTCGGTTTCACGTCATCTCTGGTCAGCTGTACTCTACTGCAGCTGATCTCAGTCTCTATCAGCCATCCTGTTATGCAGTTTCTCAGGAGCAAACCTCTCTACTTTAGCAGGACTATCTCTCTGCTGTACAGCTTAATGGACTTCCATGGGAAGCACTGTCAGATTAGGTGAAGCAAGCAGGCAGGGTCAGTGACATGACTGGTTAGAGCAGGACACTAGAAGCCAGGACTTCAGCTGTGGTAGCTGGGCACAGCCGCCTGCTTCTGCGAGAGCCGCAGAAGCTCCTCCCGGATGGCCTTGATCAAGGAGGCAGAGGAATGAGTGGGAGGAGAAGTATCCAGAGGTGGGGGGGCTGTCAGATAACCCACACCATCTAGATGGGTCGGGGGGGCCGTGGGCTCCCTGATACCACTCCGGTGAATCTGGAAGATAGAGGAGGACGAGCAGTCAGGGGGTCCATAAATAGCAGGCAGGACAGAAAGGGCAAACAGAACAACAGGGGGAGGTGATAAAAAAGAAGAGAATAGATAAGATAAAAAATATCAAGTAACAAAAACAGAAGAACACCAGAAAATTAGAAGAAAACCAAACTGAAACTGTGGGTGTTTCTCAAAAGCAATAAAGTTGGCTTCCTGTTAGGATCAAGTTACTGTGCGTTTGTTTTTAATAATTCGATGATTAAATGAAAAGTTTGGGGTTTCAGGTTTCAATGAAATTAAATGAACTTGTTAATGAAAAAGTAAAAATGTGCAATTCACTCACTGCATCTTTTTCAGCTTCTGCTCTGGAGAAATTGTCATCATGATAGTGGTTCCAGCCTAAGCCTCCATTCTGGCCCGGAGCAGCCCTGACTCCTGCTGGGAAACCATTCATCCGACTGGACAGACCCACTTGTGCAAGATGATGGAGCTGGGCACCTAAAAAAATAAATAAACACATTATACCTACTGGCACTAATTTCCTAAAGACCCAACCTTAATCATGCCAGCTTCTTGCCCAACCTTTAACCTTACTGTATCTTCCATTCCTACTCAAAACTGCTCGGGATCACTGCAGTATTCTTTTATGCTCTCTCATCTAAGCAGAGAATATATGAAACTGTCTTTACTCGGCATCAGCGTCTGAAAATTTGTCAGCTGCATGCAAATTTATACCCACTGTAAGTGAAGTTACAAAGTTATTGGCAGCTGCCTGACTGTCTGTCCTCAGATTAGCCAAGCTGTTTTTGGATGAGAGTGAGCGTGCACCCTGGACTGGTTGCACATCTATCACAGATGTTCTTCAATCATTGCAGAAAATATTGGCAACCTGAATCAGCTGTACGTTTTGCTGACACACCCCATTCCTGCTGCAACAAATGGCTTTAATCACACACGCCGCACTCAGCCAGTTCAGAAAGGGCATATTTTAAATGCAAGAGTTATTCCTCTGTAGTGACAGCTAGTGCAAAACCTTTCACGTTTGCACTAGTTATTTCTGTCAGTGTTACATATTCTCAGCAGTTTATTGCTAAACAAAGTCAGAGATAAATAGTGTATAGCTCTAAGAATAAAAAAAAGGACATATTTGTGCTAATGGTTCATTTTGTTGTTTAGCTGTAACTGACAGTGGGAGTGTTTACATTTAGATGGATTAAATATAGCATAAAGACTGAGACGGAGATTAAACACTGAGATAAAGAACATACATGTCTATCTTTAAGCATGATTGCTTAAGATGTGCGTTTCCTTTTTTCCTATTTTAAAAAAAAAAATCTACAAAAAAGTTGAAAACGAGATGCAGAAATGAATGGACACCATGAGCTTTGTTTGGGGGGACAGAGCAACAGCCTGAACATAAAATATTGTTGTGTTAATGTTGCATTTGTGTGATGCTATCGAACTTCCTTGTGTACCTGTGGTTCCTCCCACTGGACGCGGTCTGGCAGATGAGGGCAGTTCATCAGCGTAGAGGCCCCTGCTGGAGTACAGGCTGTCTGGCTGGAGCTGCTCACCGTGCCCCGCTGTTTCTCCTGGTGGCAGGTAGCTCGAGCCAAGGCCCTGCCTGAAACACAGACCAAAAAACTCATTTATGATTTAAGAAAACATAAGGACGCACCAATAGCTGAATTCTGGGTCAGTTTAAAGTAAACAATTTGACTAATAGCAGATGATGATTTTTTCCCCCTTTTTTGCAGTTACTGAACATGGAGACATTTCATACTGTGTGTGTGTATTTGTGCTACTTTTTTAGCACGCTTTACATTTCTAATCACAGGGAGTCCTTCCTATATGGTGCAATCAATAATCTGATAGTCAAGCATTTCACAATTTGGTACCAAATAGTGGAAACACAAATGGTTGACAGCTGATGCTCTACGTGTGTGTACACGTGCAGCCTTTTCAGAGTCTATTAAGAGGCAGCTGTTCAGACCTGATCCATTGAAACAATAAAATAAAGAGGACTCTTTGTCATTATTCATGAGGCTCAACTCTATAAATGTAAACTAAAGAAAATGAAAGTTCACCTGTAATTATAAATAGGAAATACCTCTTGGGGTATGAAGAACATGTGGAAAGCGACTCTATTTTCAGCTGCTTTACTGACCTTGTTGCCATGCCTTGCACTGCAGCAGAGGACATCTCAGGGAATCTCTGGGGAAGACCAAAAGAGATGTGCTGTGTTTAAGTGACAATGATCAAGTACCAGTGATGACACAGGTCTCAGGTATAAACAGTGAACTGTTTTTATTGGAAAAGAAATGCAAAAAAGATTTTTAGTTGATGCAGTTATTCTTATGAGATCACAGCCTGCTGTGTGTGTTACAATTTACTGTACTGTTGGTGGTTATTTTACATAGTGAACATTGTTATTTTTACCAAGCAAAGTTTTGTTGGATATCCATATTTTTAATAGCATATAAAAGCACCATCAAAGGGCTGTTTATGGCTGCACTGCTCAGTGTTTCTTTCACTCGTCTGGGGTGAGCACCCGTGTTGGATAGAGGACAAAGTATTGTTATTAACAGCTGTAAAGCAGCATGAAAGATAAGAAAGCATTTAAAAAGTGTATTCAGGGAGTGAAAATGTATTCTCTGCAGTCAAGAAGGTCTGGGATTAAATCTTTAAGGTTGCACTTCCAGGGAATGAATGAATGAATGGACACATTTAGATCTGGACCATAGAACAGCCATACAATGCTTCTATTTTGTTTTTGTTTAGAGTAGATTTTTGCACTTGTAAAGTACCGATTAGATTTTCTTCTTCTTACACAAACAACCTTAATTTCAGCTAAGCCCTCTACCTCTCATGGATTTCAAAGCCAGGGATAATTGTACATGAATAGTATTATGCTGCCATAGCTAAGTGTTAATAACAGAGGTTGGCACTGCATAAACTGGCCTCGCTTTGTAAAGCCTTCCAAGCAGTTTCTTTGAAAGTAGCCTATACTAACAGGAATTAATAAAGATTACGTGGGTGATGGCTATATCACTGAAGGGTCTTAGGAGCTCTACATAACCAGTGGGGGTGGGCGGGGGGGCTAAGGTTGCACCTTGCAACAGATGGAGGAATACTTAAGTCAGTACTTTGCTAAGAGGACGTGATTATACTGGAAGCAATAGGCTTCATGCTGAGCAGGAGAGCAAAACACCTTAAGAAAGTGAATGCAAAGCTGTGTCTCCCACTGTTTCTATTTGTAACACATATTCTTGTTCCATGCAATATGGCAGCTGAAATATTTATAGCTGACTGGATGGACAATGCTCCAGCCAGAGCGTTTGTACACAGACGGCAACTTACGCTGGGGAAAGCTTGGTAGGAAAGACCCCAAGGTCTCGGCCCATGACCTGGAGGGCTAGAGTTAGGAGGGTTGCTGTTGACCCCTGGGAGAGTGATCCCAGCAGTGCTGCCCTGAGAAGTGGGTGACACAAGAGCGAAGGCGTCGTCCAACAGGGAGTGCATCTGCTGCCGTGCTTCCTCGATGGAGGGCTGTGGGGGCATGTACGGTGGTGGGGGAGGGGCATGGCCGGGAGGAGAGGAAGTGGGGGCTGGGAAGACATCATCTGTGGGGGAAGGACTCCTGTGAGGGGATCCTGGGCCTTGGTCAGGGTCCGACTGGAAAACATAGACGGCAAAGAAGTCAGAAAGGTTGCAGGGTCCGTGAAAGGTTTTCCTACTTCTTCTGTGTTACTCACCACATAGGCCACATTGTTGACCCCGGGGCACTTTCTGTAAGCAGCATCAGTGTCTTCAGTGATGAGGTGGTCTTTGTCTGCTTCCATCATGCCTCCATTCATCTGGTCTTTCATCCTCTGCTTTGGTGAGCGCCTGCCTCGACCACTTAGAAACACATGAAGAAAGAGAGAAATATATTATCAGCATGCACAGAAAATCAAGTTCTCCACCAAAAAGTCAAAAATTCATAACCTCTAACCTTTTCTTGGGTTCCATGAAGACGGAGGGCATCTGAGCATCCGGGTCCAGGATCTTATCAATTTGCATCTGTTCTTTGCGATAAATACGATCTGGATCCTTTGCATCGCCAAGACCGCCTATGTCATCCATAGCTGGGAAGTCATAGTGGCCCTTCCTCTTGGCGCGAAGACGAATCTTGTTACGATGATGCTCAATTTCTGACTTGTGCCTCAACGCTACCTGGATCTGAGGATCAAATTACAATTATCAGTATTAGCTCGTTTGGCAAATTATAAGAACCACAGAAGCATCACAAATGAAATTTCAACCACGTGTGAATTACATCTTCCAAAAGACTCTGGAGGATTTCACTTTGTTCCTATGACTTCTTCTTTGAGAAAGAACATTTTCAAACTATCTGACCAAAGAGTTTGTGTCAGGGTTTTGTATTTTTTATTCTGCATTGAGATGAAATTTTTCAAAGGAGCAGATGAGACTCCTGCAAGGCCTGTGGGAAATAATTAGCTTGGTAATTTTTTAACTTCAGCACTAAAAATGCATCAACGTAAACACACTGGAGACAAACTGAAATACTGCAAAGAATGTGGGAGATGCTTCCCCACATCAGGTGACTTAAAACGACATGAACTCTTTCACAGTGGGGTTAAAAAGCACCTCTGTGCTCAGTGTGGGTCATCCTTCACCACTGCAGGTGACCTTAAAACACACAAAGTCCACACAGGAGAGAAACCATACAAGTGCAGACACTGTGACAAAAGCTTCTCATGTTCAGGGAATCGTAACGAGCATGAACGTACACACATGGAAGGAAACTACAGCTGTGAGCTTCGGTAATCTCAGTTCCTACTCCGCACACAAACGATCCCACGTTACTAATAAACTGTTTCACTGTTACCAATGTGCCAAAACATTCACTTCATTATCTGCTCTTTGCAAACATCAGCGTGATCACGCAGGGCTGAAATCGTTCCCATCACAGGATCAGAGTAAGTCTGAAGAGAGAGAAACATCCTCTTCTGATTTCAGGGTCAAACTTAAACCCCTGGAGATCAGGCGCCACAGAGTTCAGATAGACTCTGCTGTAAAGATCTAATGAGGCAGCTGTGAATGAAAATGTTCCCGTAGTTCCATTTTAATCTTTGTAAAATGTTCTTCTGTAGTGTTTGTGTTCAGTGGTTGGATGAAAAATCAGTTTCCTGTTCTCAAGTTTTTATTGAATGTATTTTGTTAAATAAACTTAGTTAAAAATGTTAAATAAAGAAACAGTTTAATGACAAAAAAAACCAAAACTTCAGCACAGCACAGTAAAACGATATCTTACTGTAACCCACGTTTTTCTAATGTGCTTGCGAAAGTAAAGCAAATCTTGATCCAGCAGTTTAATGTTAAAGACAAGTGTCTTTAACATTAAACTGCTGGATTACTTATCTCCTTAAAAAAGAAAATGAGAGCAGCAAACCTCTTTGGTCATTTGGTTTGTGTCTGACAATTTTCCATTGACGGGCGGACTGTGGAGTGGTGGGACAGGCATAGGCTGCATGGCGATAAGCTGGACTTTATTGGGGAGTCTCCTGCTTGCGTCGGTGCCACGAGATATCCGATCAACATGTTCAAAGATGGAGGCTGAAGACAGCTGCTCATTTGTATCGTTCATAGGAGGAGGACCTGTGGAATAAAACAAAGGTCGTGACATGTTAGCAGCGAGTTCACACCGTATGCTAATGCTGATCTAAGCTAGGGGACAGAGATTTTACACAAACAGCTAATGCATAAGGATGACTAATGAAACATGTCCGTGTTTCTTTACCACCTCACTATATTCAAAATATTGGTTGTAATAAAAGTGTGGAGTAAATTTCTTGAGGGTTACGTGAAAATAAAACATTGATTTCTATTTCCAAAAGCTAAGCTTTGTTTCAAACAATGGCTTTTGCCTTTGTTTGTGAAGTTATTGTTTCCATGCTGTGACCGACAGCTCAGCACAGAAGTGATGGATGGTGAGAACTGTGCACAAAACTACCAAAGAACTAATAGACAACACACAGACAGCTGCTGGAGGTCAAGCCTGAGGTCTACAGAGACAGAGACAGAAAGTGGCAAGCTCTTACCAATTCTATTCTTGCCTGCAAACCACAAAAGAAAGGAAAGAGAGTCTTACTAGGGTGAAAGAGATCAAGTAAGAACAAAAATCAAAGTGGTTGCTGCATACTGACAACAATATTAAAAAAAAAACCAACAACACAGAGGTGCAGCTGACACGGATGCATGAGAGAAAAGAAACATAACCAGGAAAGATCAAAAGAAAGGAAAAGGCAAGTTTCCATAGGTGATACTTTCATGTCTTCAGATCTTTTATTCAGTAGCTGGAAAAAAGCAAGGAAGATGTTGCTCTGAATAAGAAGAAAGCAAAAAAAGATGCAGCAGATTATTTAATATTGAATGTGTTTCATCTGGAATCTAATTAAACTCTTTTCATCCACCAGGTATCCACCGACCCAATTAAGCTAATACTACTGTTTGGTTGTTTTATTTACATTCTAAATGAACCAAGTCTCATACGTGCATCTGGGATTTTCTCTGGATATGACAATTTGGCAGAAATTAAATTAAAAAAGGGGGTTGCTGTCAGCCTAACCCAATCCTAACCCTAACCTTAACCAGGTTAAAAGCACCGGGCAGAGCATAGTACAGTATCAGCACAGACTTATCAATAACAAAACACAGACTGTTCCTCTGTGTGTGAGTCAGGCTGCAGTCTGCGTGCCCGACTGCCTCGAGGTCCAGCACGTAATCTCTTGAGTGGCACTGCAGGCTTGAATCTATCAAAAAGCTGTCAGATAAAGTAACTTTAGCATTTTTTTCCTTTTTCCTCAATTCCTCTCCGTCTCGTCTTATTTTGACCACTGAATAGAAATTCCTACCAGCTGCTTCTTTTACTTTCACTCTGTTTTATGTCCTTGCCTGGAATCTCTTCACGTCTCCTCTGCTTTGTCTTTTCTTCCTCCCTTTACAATCTCAAACTGGCCTCCCTGTCAATCAAAACATGCTAGCTGTGGTTGCTCTCTCTTTATCTATTTATGTCAGCCAAGTCCCTTCATTTTCTTCCTCCCCCTCATATTTGCTCTCCGTGTTTGGAGGAGCGAGTTGAGTGTTGCCAGGGCCACTTACCGTTTAAAACATTGATGGGGACCTTACGGGTCTGCTTGCTGTCGCTGGGCGTGGCCTGGGCTCTCAGGTTCTCCTCAGTTGATTCCCGCTCACTGGAATGGTCACTTAACACAGAGTCGCCATCTGATGAGGAGATCCTGCCCAGGAAAGACACACAAACACAGCCTTAGATGAATAATTGAAGCCCAAGAGCGCACGAACATGCTGCAATGTCATGCATAATCAAAACCTGCGCTCTTGCAGAAAGGTAAAAGCTGGGAGGAGACTTCTAAGAAATAATAACATTGGTTATAACTTGTTGAAATAAACGCCTTAAAGAATCTCCGCTGCCAGAATGATTACATTCATTAAATAATTTGTCTTGGATGGCTGTCGAGCAAGGAGGAACAACCAGCGCCAACTGCCCAATAAAAGAGCCTGATGTAATGGAAGACATTTGTAACAGGAGTTAATAAATGTATCCAGCAGTAACTGCTGTACTTGTTTTGGTGTCACATATCTAATAACCAGAAGAGTGAGTGTTCTGGGAAAGGCTGGTAATGTTGCACAAACTCATTTAAGCTGTCGATATCAAAACTGAAAATTCTTTAGTTAAGCTTTGATATTATTTCAAATGTAGGAAAATCGGGCCAGGGCAAAAATATTTAAAGAACAAAGTAAAATGAATATTTATAATGCACCTCAGCTTAACCTCTGTAAGTTACACAGACCTGTCTGAGGGAGCAAAAGAAGATTCCTCCTTCTTTGGTGCATAAATTAATCAGAAGATCTGTCAAAAGCTTTTTGTCTGGTTGGCTAACTGCCCCAATTGAAGGAGGCAGAAAGTCACCTCAGTTGGGAAAACAAGCTGTAATAAAATCTATACAGAAATGTTAACGCAATTTAAAAAATGCTACCAGTGTTTCACCATGTGTGGAAAATAAAAACACGAAGGTGACCGTATCTCTAAAATATGCTGGCTGTAATCATGAACTTCACTAGAACTGCTTATCCTCTCTTTATTTGCTTTAGGTAAAGTAAGCCTTTATGTTTTGTCACTTTCCTGTTCTGCGAGCAGCACTGACCTTCCTCTCCTTCGACCACTGCGCGACGCCTTTGTGGAGGAAGCGGACGTTTTGGAAATGGGAGTGGGGATCTCCCCGTTCTCAGATGGACTGAGGCCATCTTTAATGGATACTTGGACGGGCCCGAGGCCAGACGGGACAGGCTCCTGGATCACCATGACATCATCCTTGCTCTGCTGGCCAAGGTGCAGCTTGGCAAAGTCAAAGCCCTTAACGGTGGGAGCCTGCAGCTAAAGAAACAGGAAGAAGAGAAGGAACGAGTGGATGAACATGAGCCGAAAGCTGCACCAGCAAGACAGCGAGGGAGCGAGCACGACTTTCACTTAAGTATTTACTTATTGACAAGCATTCATAATCATTCACCGCCTCATTGTGACATTAACCTTTACTTTTTAAAGCCTCTGACTTTACACCAAATGCCAATATGAGAGTAATACTGCAAAAAACAGGGAACTGAAGGCTCAGAAAGCGATAGTCCAATGCAGTGCAATGAAATTCCATTAAAATTCCAGATTTGTAAATGAGGGAAATGACAACCAGAACGATGCCACGTTCGAGACATAATTGGGCTAAATGACTGATGAATGGATGCCCAGTGGGAGACTCACACAGTCAGACAAGAATGAATAAAGAGAAAGTCTCTGAGAAGAGCGAGAGACTTGGGTAAACATTGACTTGGTGTCTCTGTTTTTGGGGTGGTGGGGGATGGAGGCTGGAGCAGTGAGTGTAAAGCCCTCAGGACTTCCCGTCAGCAGAAGAGTAAACAGAAGATGTCAGATCTGAGTGTGTTTGCAAGCAGTTTGTGAAACTCTAGTCCTACGACACTGAAATGTGGCAACAAGCAAAGAGTGACACGATGTGTTCCTCCTAATTCTCTGCATTACATGTGCGCACACTGAGTTTACTGAGGCAAAATGTACAGCTTAGAAGAGGCTTGTTGGTATAAAATTCCTAATCCAGTTTTCTGCTTGCCAGTATGAAACTGCTTCTCCTGGGGGGAGTGAATGGGTATATGATTGTGTGGCGCACAAATGAGGCCAGTCTTTGAGGGGCACAACACCTCAAATAGTAAACTATGACTCATTATAGCCAACACCGAAGCTGAACGCACAAAACACTTACACATGACTTAATCATAGCCATAAGAAACCATTTACAACAACACAAACACAACGTACAACTCTGTTTCCTAAAAAGGATTATTAGGTCCTTTAAAACGTAAAGATAACACGTGAAAAACGATTAATTTTCCCAAAAAATAAATGCTTACTGTAAATTTGGTATAAGCAATACATTTTTAAATAGTTGGGACAGGAGCTACAAAGACTACAAAAATATTTAACAGAAAAAGGGAAACAAAAATGACCAAACAAACAAACAAAATCTAAACAAGTATTACCGTAGTCACATGAGGACTCAGGTTAGTGACTTGGGTTTAAAAAGAGAAACAGATGCCTTCACCACATTGTTTTGAAATTGCAATTAATTTGGAGAGTTTCATTATCTACAGAACATAATATAATTATTTTAATGATATTAAAATAATGATGATGAAACATTATTTTAACATCATTAAAATATGAAGAACTAAATAAATCTCTGCAGCAAGTCCCAGAGCTGCATCCCTGCAAGTTGAAGGTATCATGCAAAGTAAAAATAAAACATTAAAAACAAAAAGCTAGCATCTGCTCTGATATGTGCAGTGCAGTGCTAACTTACACGTATGTTAATGCTCCACTGATGCTGCATGTTACACACAGGAACATACGTTGCCATTTGTTGGCACCTACTCGAGCAGCATGTTTCTACAGTTTAGAAAGTGCAGACACATAAAAATGACACAGGAGTGACTCTGAACCGTCGAGCACTTTAAATCAAACTAATAATGGAAAAACATTTTGCTTGCAAAGAGGTGAAGCAACACAGCAGTAAATATGCTCCTGTCCCAACGATGTTGTTAAAGTGGAAACGACGGTGTTTCGTTAAATACAAGCTTCATGTGATCTGTAAACATTCTGATTCTTTTTCTATGTTTTGTGAGGGGAAACAGAGTTGTATACATGATCTACTGACTATAAACACACACTTTTCTCTCTAGATACCATAATGAGGGAGATCTTACATCTATAAACACAAACAGGCACTAATCTCCCGTCTACTACATGAGATACCTCCTCCTCGGCTCGTCTCCCTTTAGACAACACTTTCTTTTTCCCGTCTTTCTTCACTTCCTCTGGTTTCTTTTTCACAGCTTTGGTCGCTTCCCTTTTTTGCTCTCTCGATGTACCTTCTTTCCTTTTCAGTTTCTTTTTATCCTCTTCCTCTTCTTCCTCCTCCTCCTCTTCTTCAGTTTCCTCCTCTTCTTCCTCCTCTTCTTCTTCAGCTTCCTCCTCTTCTTCCTCCTCATTTTTCATACCCTGATTGCTCTTCAGAGCTACTGATCTCTAAGCAGAAGCAATGATGAATAAGATAAATTGTTCTGCTGATAAGTGATGAGCTACTATTTGTTATTATATGAGCTACTGTTTGTTATTTGTATCACTTGTAACAACAAGTAAACACCCAGACTATAAAAATGGACTTCTTCTTCATATAACGTGCATACGGTCTTGTTCTTTGCATAATTGTGCAACACTTGAATAATAAACCATAAACAAGTTACTTCCAACAAACACACAACAGGTCTGACTACATTTTCTACAAATCACCAGACACTGCTTTGTACCTTCCCCTTTTTAAAATCCTTCTCCTCCCCTTCCTCCTCCTCTTCATCATCTTCTTCCTCTTCATACTCCTCCTCTTCATCCTCACTAAACTCAATACCTTTTTTAGTTTGAGGGAGTCGCTGTTGACGAGAGGTCCTTGATTCTCTGAGTAACATAGTAGACTGAGAGAAGAGGAGTGGTGTTAAGTCAAAGACGAATGTGTGGATCAGCGAGGATGAGCCACTGATACACGTCTGAGTCAGAGCACTGACCAAATGCTAAGGTTATGTTCAAGTGAAGGGGAATCAGACAGAGATGAAAAGATGAGGCAGTTTTTGAAACCAAAACATCCAGAGAACCACCCAAACAGGCTGTTTGTAATCAGGAATGGAAATAAACATACATAGGATGGAGTCTTACTCCTGTCTTGCTCACATGTATTCTTAGTCCAAGCTGAGGTTTGCAGGTGGACACGTTTTAGACAGAGATTCAGCAACTGTTGTTCTCTAATACTACTGTTATGAGCACAGCGCTGCAAATATGTTAAACACCTGTGTGGTCTTATATTTCTGCACCACATATGAACTTCACCAAACTAATACAAACAAAACAAGACAGCCAAATACTGGCTGTTAAGTTAATTTCTTAATTAGGAATAAAATATACAGCCTGACATTAGAAGACTGAATAAAATATTCGTGACGATAAAAAGGGACAAACACATGCAAACGTGGAGGTTTCCAGACTAACGAGTACACAGATGACAGAATCGGTCAGAGCAGGTATTACACAGACGCCATCTAACAGGCAAGTTGTCTAATATTGAGCCAATGTGTGAAGAGTGCAGGAAGAAAATCCCTGTGATCACGCTCGCATCATGTATAGCACCCCGCCTCCTGCACTCTGCTCATGTGTCAAACCTTGCCTAAACCAAACAGAGCATTTGCAATAGTGAGAGGTTGTGTGATACTGGTGTTTCTGTTGTGTGCAGTTTGTGATTGTCCACCAGACAAGGGCAGTCAGATTTATTCACTGTCCACAGCTTATGTCTGAAAGCTGTTTCAGGGAGGGTAATACTATGACAGAAATCTTACTTAGGGCAGCCAAATAGCATTACTTCTAAAATTAAGTGAAGCTACAAAAGCCAGAGAGGCTTTTCAATAACCACAGATTGAACACAAAATGAGCCGAAAGGAAACTGTCGAGCAGCATTGTTGGTTGTTTCAAGCAAAAAAAGAGCTGCTGAGGCTGTTTGCTGTATGAGCAGCATCATAATTTTTAACCCAGCACATGTCCTTCAATATGTCTCTGCTGGAATCATTAAAGTTTTACTAATGTCATCCAGAAGACGGCATCATGATGTCCAAATCGGTGAGGTCTTGCAGCACAGTCATGGCAGTGACATATAGCCTTTATTAATCATGCTGATTTATAATCCCAGGATTAATCCAGTAAATCTAATTAACAAACTATTTCTAACAAAAACACCTTCATTACATAATTACAAATATAACATTTACGGCACAAAAGTCATTTTGAAACACTGATGCAGGAAAGCATCTGTAAAGTAAAGATGGAACTTTACCTTTTGTCTCTGTTGGATGGAGGTCATGGCGTCTGGCTGGAATTCCAGCTTGTCTGTCCGACACAACTTCCAGTAAAGGATGGAAATGATGACGATGACCACGAGGAGGGGGATCACAACCCCGATGATGATCCACATGTTTGTGTTCTCATTGTCAGAGGGTGAAGATGTCACTTTTTCGACAGCTGTGATTAGAAAAAACAAAGAAACCATAAACTGCTAAGTTCATATATTGACTACAAAGGAGGAGAAGGTTATTTTAGAATCCAGGTTCTTTTCTGTTACCAGTATTTCCCATCGGTTGGCTGCTCTTCACATGTTCTGTATTTATTAACAGTGACACTCCTATATGCTAATGAGCTCATCTTTATTGATTTTCAGCCTTGATCGAACTAAATCTATAAAGGTGAGCGATTTACGGGACATCTGTAAACCGTAGCTACGGAAAATAACCTGGATTCGTTTCTCCCTGGACAGACACGGCGCTGCTTTGGTTTTAATTAACAGTCACTTCATCCTCTGGGAAAGCACCATAAAAGAACGCAATCAGAACGGAGACAGAACTCCCTTGAGGGGCTCTCATTAGCCTTCATCCGTTGTTTAGATTCCTAATAAGGAAGACAGGGTTTGGGTGCAGCGTGTACAAAGGGAGATAATTAGCTCAAATGTTACTATAAACATGTAAAGATACGCATGGAGCTGGCAGTCAGTATCCTTTCCTCTTATTAGGATCTTGAGAACAATTAGCCATTGCAATAACAGTAATGATGGTGAAGCTAAAAGAATTAGTCTTTTTTTGTTTACATACACTAAAACTTCCTGCCAGCATCAAAGAAGAAAGAAAAAACACACTAACAAATTAAATAAATTCACACGGGAGTGTTTGATTGACTTGAACTATCATAGATCATCTTTTTTATCTATTTATTGAGACATACTTACGTTGTGCCAATATGCCCTGTACACGATATCCCAGGACAATAGCGGCTCTTTGGACATCCAGGCTGTTAAGCAGGCTAGCAGTCTGATCTGCAGGCATCCTCTGACCACTAGGCCCCTCCACAAAATACACTATTTCGAGGGGGAGGTCAGTACCCGCCAACCGGCTTGTGCTTACAACCTGGGAATTAAAACAAGGAGGACTGGTAAAGTGTTTCAGAATGCAGTTTTGAACAGATATGGGTAATTTTCTTTAAAGCAACAGCTGTGATGGATAAAAGGCAGGAAAAGAGCAGATCTTCTTAAACCCCGCCCCCAAAACATTCAATGTTTTATGCATCATAAATGTATCCTCCAGGGTCAGACTGTCGAAGGAGCTCTACTGTAACTTCCTGAGGCATCTGAGGGAAAACACTAGCTGCAAATGACCCATACTGTCAAGTGTGCAATTGCGCACCAGTGCATTGAAGTTGAAGGGATGCTGTGTTGACACAGTGGAGGAGAGCGAGCTCTCTGGAGCAAGTCGAAGGGGACAGAAAATTGCTTCCAGGGAGCAATATAAACATAAGAAGATATAAACATAGCAGGATATATGGAAGTGCTTCAGAGGTGCATAAGGAGATGACCTTAAAAAGAAAAACAGGTGTGTTTTTGCTTCTTATTAGAGTCACAGATCTTCCTGATCACACCCCAGATTTGATGGCTGTCATACAATAACAGAGTCACTGCCAGACCTAGTAACTCCTATATGATGGAAGCCCTTTTACCGAACTGCCAGTAATCTTATTTTCCCCCAAAGGTAAGCATTTCCAGATGGTGCGGGGGGAAATAAAGGCTGGAGCATGACGGACTCTGTTTATTTGCTAAGGGACAAAGGCTGTCAATTCTCAGTTTTGTGGTCGTTAGTAGTGTTAAAGGGCATTTCTTTTCTTGGTGCACTCCTTAAGAACACAAACAGGGGACCATGTACGTTACCCTGAACTTCATTTCCACGTGCATGCTTTAATGTTCCCATTTGTGTCCTTATACGACAAAGTTTCCCATCTGAAACATTTGTGGATAAGAGACTGTGCTCGAGAAAAAAAATGACAAAATGCTTCTAAAAATGGATTCACGAAGGACGACCACACTCTAAATTAAAAATGGAATTTCTGATGAAGGTGCTAATGGGCAAAGTCTCACAATCTTAACAGTAAAGATGACTTTTTAATGGAGACGGTGGCACCTCATTTTCTGCCGAGCCTTACAACATTAATCATTGTTGGGTTTTTTTATTTTAACGACAGATTTGAGATTTGAGACTCGAACCATTTGACCTTCTCGAGTCCACCTTGCTGTATTTAATGCTCATACAAGCACCTGAAAGTTACAGAGTTCTACAAACTAAACAAAATGTAGTTTTTAAAATAGGGACTGACTCCTGTGTCCACAATATACACACCGTTGCGTTTTCATATCCTTGTGGGGACATCTAGTTGACATAATGCTTTCCCTGGCCTCTTACCCTAACCCTGACACTAAAACCACATTTTGAGCCTCAAAAATGTCTTCAAACTTGTGCGGATGGGGATTTTGTCCCCATAACGGCCATTGGTCCCCACAAGTATAGTAAATTTACAATTTTTGTTCCCTCAAGATATGTAAAGATGGTCCAAATACACACACACAGACACATAACCATCATTTTAGGTCACATTTTGCATACCTCTTGGAGATCCATTGCTTAAATATTTTTAAATTCTGTCCGATTTGTCTTTTTGACCGATTTAATTTGACTGATTTGTTTGTGTGTGTGCAGCCTCCCCGATGGTGCCCTGAGGCACAAGCACAGTCTGCTGTCTGTATTACTGAAAAGAGTAAAGTGCAGGTCATGCCTGGGCTGCCACAGAAAAACGGCCGGGCAGACTCCCTCATTCAGGGTTTAATCCAGTCCGTGTCTGCTTATTAGAGTGGAAAGAGGGCAGTGTGAATGCGTGTTACTGCACAGCCCAAATTCAACCTCCCTTTCATCTGTCTGGGCAGACTCATAAGATATTCTCAGTGGTGACAACACTACACTCGTTCTGTCATGACAGTCAGGGGCATCTGTCTGAGATACACCATAATTATTTATGTGCAAGAAAGCAAAGCAGAAGTTCAGACGCTTTCATCCAATAAGGCACTCGGAGATGAGTGTTTTTGAAATATTAAAACAGGCTTCTTATATAACAGCATTCTATCAAGTGAATAACACATTATCATATTTATGGATTTGAAAAAATATCATTTGGAAGAGCAGAAAGGATGCCAGAGCTAAAATTAGAGATCTAATCTTAGCAGAAACGCAGACAGCAAAGGTTCACCACTGATGTGCTTCTCTTTTCTATATTATTCTGTAGAATTCACCGAGGCAAAAACAAAGGTCCTAAATGGATGCACATGATGATATTTAGCACTGACAGTCATCTTGTCTTAGCTTGACCAGTTACTTTTGTTTGAATTTTCTGCTTCTCTTCTGATTTCCGCATCTTTACCTACCACTGACTCTGTGACAAACATTCACTTTTTGACTCTTTAGCCCCCCAACAGCAGGATACAGACCGAGAAAAAGACACAATTATTAACTGACATGCTCTTAGGAGCCATCGAGTATAAGGAGGACTGGGATAATGAGGAAGAGGACAAAAAAATAGGCAACATGAGGTTGTGGTCTTTGAATGGCTTGCCCCTGAGATGAATGGGATGGTGTTGCCATGGAGATCGAGCCGTATCCTGTCCCCTTAGAGAGGAGATGAGCAGGTGCAGAGAGGACCCACAAAAGCTAGAGCTTGATTAGTAAAGCACTAAGGCTTTCACTGGTTACAAACAGTGTCACACTCACATAATGACCCCTCTGTACTCAGAAAAGGTGGCAAGAGAGAGCTTGTATCAGGGTATAATGATACAAATGGTACAAGGAAGGATGGTTCTGCAGAGTTTTTAGAAGTTTTGTTATATAGGGAACAAGAAATGTAAAAAGCAAAAAGTATTTGTGACCCTGAAAGAGCTTAAAGCTTAGTTGCATAGAGAATGAAAGTGAGAGACACGGAACACAAAGAAATAAGAAATTTCTTTGCATTTTTTATGTGATTACATATATGAAATATTTATTCTCTGGTAAAAAATTGAAATAAAGATATGGCTTACATTCGTGGCATGTGGAACGGGGCCCAGTGAGCCTGGGGCTACGGAGCTGTAAATATAAGCTGAGTAAAATGATTATTGAATCTATAAGCATATTACCTGAACACTACTGTTGCCTATGGTGGTGGCCCTTTTAACCCGTCTGACTGATCCTATTGCTTCACCGAGTAACAGGGCCAACCGGCGCTCCATGTTAGCTTGAAAGGTCCTCTCACCCACTTTCTGGTCCAGCACACCCAGGAGTACTACATATACACACACAGCAGAAGTAATATGCTCTGTAGTAACTGCTTTACATGAACTGTAAGACTGACAAAAATCATTCAAAATCATTATACCTGTTCTAACCCAGGAAGAGCGAAGCAGTTGGCTGGTGTTCAGCTCTGGATAATGGAAAGCTAGTGGAAAAAATTATAAAATGAATCAATAAGTGCTGTGACCTTTACTCGTATTCATTGTTGGCGATCACAATCAGAATTTCCCAGCTAACCCAGATACAGAACTGATAATATGAAAATGGAAATAGTTCAAATACAGTCAGTACGGTACTCACGCTCAGCGATCTGCAGCACAGGAAAGCCCATGTAATAGCTGAATTCCACCATAGTGAGTTTCATTAGAGCACTGCTGATCTCTGACCCCATCAGATAACTCCTTGAACTGCGAACAGTGAAAGTAATGTCCACCGGTTTCCTCGCTAGTCCTTGTTCCTCGTATATGGGAGCAGCCATGGTGATGTTTACAATCTGAAACACAGTGGTAGTGTTACAGGAAACAGAAAAAACACATATTAAAACAAACAAAACATTCTCTATCTTACTGTTAAAGTAGTACCTGTGTCTTAAAGACCTACAATTAAATTCCCTCTGAAAAGAGAACTACATAACTATGTGATCAAATAACCTCTTTAGTAACAAAAAATAATCTTCTTTAATACTCAACAACTAGAGCATGAAGCACTTTAAAAAGAAGTAGCCATGTGAAAAACACTTGGGTCATGCTCATGAGTTATGGTAAGATGAACAACGAGTAGACCAAGGAGTGAGTATAGTGTCCACAAGAACACTTGGGTCTAAATCCTTGCCTCTAATTATAAGCTCTGTGCTGCATTTATTTGGCAATAACTATCATAACCCAAAATGACCATAAGCATCCATACTTTGGAGAGACAGAGCACTTAGTTGCTCCTTTCCAAAAGAAGCAAAATGCAGAGCGATGGCTTTTGCTCCTGCAAAATTGCATTACATGGACGTTACATTGTGTCTGCTATTACAGTGCTTCTCAGTAACATGTGCAGCATTCTCTGTAGAGATGCTGTCTGTGGTTTGATGAGGTTGATCCAACCTTGAAAAGACAGGCGATGCATTTCAGAACACAAGGAAGACTCCAGTGTTTTATTTTCTTATAATTGACTTTTTAATCTTACAGAATAGCAGAGCTTTGTTCTTTGAGTATTACTTCCTCTTGAGCTCTCTGTTTGGATTTTTCTATAATGCTCATAAAACACTGTCAATTACAAATACTTTACTTTCAGCCTTTTTAGATAATAACAATACAAATCTGTAAAAACACGCAGTGCATAAAGAATCCCACAGATCAGTGAGTGAAATGACTTGATTTATATTGGTCAGCTTAGTGAACAAACAACATTTTCAGCTTTTTTTCTTTGAGTAAAAACTCGATATTTTTAAAAGTCTTTTTGTTGTATTTGGTCAAGTTGATAAGAAATTAAATATTTCATTTTTTCAGATTCTTTCAGATCCTAAGCCACAATGAAAGCATCCTAATGAAAACATCCCAGCTGGAATGCACCTCCATGACTGCCCATGGCTTCCCTCACTTTGTGCCACTCACATGCACTGTGAAATTAGTCGACTCCTTTGATCGCCTGCGGACTTCGGCGAAGGCCCTGGTCAAACCTCTCTCGATGCTCTCACTGAAGTTGCAGAACCGCACGTCTACGTGTCCAGGAACAAACTGCAACACTGCACAGACGAATTGAATACTTTCTGACTGAGCTTAAAAAATAAAGGTCAAATTCTGCTAAATGCTTCAAGTGCCCTCGGAAAAAGACTCAACAAAAGGTCATTTACCTGAGTGGACTTGATAATTTCTATCTGGCGTCGACCAGTTTGGCGAAACAGACAAGAAGCGGCGCCCCGACCTCCTCAGTGCATTGACGACAGACATGCCTGTGTACACGACCGGACCCGACACCACTCGAAACACAAATTTTGGTGGTGGATCCACAACCTACATTAAGAAAGCAGAAATTAATTGTATTAAAGAGACACACTGTACATTAAGTAACTTATGTTAAATAGGCTGTGTATCGTCTGGAACTCAATGTGACAGAAGTGGTCTGGCTGAGTTTGTATGTGGCGCTGTGACAATCACAAAAACACCCCAACACAAACATAGACTATACTTTTAACACATAAACGTACCACCAATTTACACCCACACTCTGTGTGAGCCACTACAACTCCGTTCACTCAATTGCTCAAAAATCTAACAACATCTAGCTCAGTAGGTAGCGTGGTCGCCCCATGATCGGAAGGTCGGGGGTTTGAATCCACTGAATGGCTACCCTGAGGAACCCCCAGAGCAATGTACCATCCCTACACACTGCTGGGCACCTGAATAGTGGCTGCCCACTGCTTCACTGAGTGAATGGGTTAAATGCATCAATAAAGTATACATTATTATTCTTGTTATTATGATCCGTCCATTCGCTTCCACTTATCCTTTTCAGGGTCGCGGGGGGCGCTGGAGCCTATCCCAGCTGTCACAGAGCACGAGGCGGGGTGCACCTTGGACAGGTCTGTCGCAGGGCTAACACACAGAGACAGACAAGGATTCGCACTCACATTCATGCCTGCATTCACACCTGGGCAATTTAGATAGTGGGGATAGGTTAATTAACCTAAGTGCATGTCTTTGGACTGTGGGAAGAAGCCGGAGTACCCAGGAAGAACCCACGCTAACACGGGGAGAACATGCAAACTCCACACAGAAAGAACCCGGGCTTATGGTGGAATTGAACTCAGGACCTTCTTGCTGTGCAGCAACAGCGCTAACCCATTTTCCCCCCATATTTTTCTTAATTGCAAAAAAATGGTTGACACCTTGCATTATTTAAAATATATGGAAATATGTTTAATGAACTTACTTGCAGTTCCACTGATTTGTTAAATTCCCCTTTCAAAATGTCTCTGACCTGAGATTTAGCATATCCTACAGTGGCCCCGGCTGGAAAACCTTGTGAAAAAAGCACAAGCTAATGGTCAATGTCTCTCGTATACTCTGCTGTCTATGAATAACTCTTTCAAGCACAGTTAAGTAAGACAAAACACATTAAATGCCTAACTTACCGATCCTGATCAAATAAGCGGGTTTGTTAACGTTGCAGAGGTACGATCTTGATGTTGGTGCTATAGCTGTGATTTTACCAACAGTGGTAGAGATGATGTTGACAATAGTTGAGGCTTCAGAGGTGGCAGTAATTCTGGTTGTGGCTTGATGGGGAGTAGTTGTGGCAGGTGTACTTGTGGGTGTAGTAGAGACTTTATTAACTACACTACTGGTTGGGATATAGGTCAGTGTGGCTGGGGTGTCAACTCCATCTTCAGTCACCCCCTGATCACCCATCACAAATGGAGGGGGCAGAGTCACATTCTGAGGCGTGGATTCAGTTGAAACTATAGTTGCATTGAGAGTTGGATCATTGGTAAAAGCAGACTCTTCAGGAACTAATTCTGTTGTACCGGCTGTACTATTGGCAGCAGGCTCAGTGGGAACAGGGGAGAAGTCTATAGTTGCAGTTAAGACAGCAGTTGCATCCATAGTACTTTTTGGGGGAGACTCTGTAACATACCAATGAACATACGTAAGAGAGGAGGCAAAATTTAAATCGTCTGGCAGCAAAGGCGTTGTACTTGGCTGCACAGCTTCTGTAATTGGAGTGCTATCCAGGCCAACGTTGTTTGTATGTGCAGACCAATCTGTGGTGGACACCTGACCATCCGAAGAAGAAAAGGAGTGGAGGGAATGCGTTGGGACTATGGAAGGATCAAGAAAAGGCTGAGAGGCATTGGCCACCTGAGGACTCTCCTCTGTGGTTACTACAAAGCTCGTTTCATCATGAGGCTCAAGCCCCGAGAGATCACTGGAGGACTCCTCTTCAATCACTTTTGTATCATTGCTGAAGCTGTTGTTAGGTGTGCTGTCTGTAGTACTGATGGACACCACAGTAATGTTCCCCCTGTGTTCAGCTCCGCTTTCTGAAACGTTATTCTCCTTGGTCAGCTGATTGTTATAATATTCCAAGCTGTTCATGTCTGGCAAAAGGACATCTGTCGGTTGAATTGTGTACGTATCTGACCAATCTACGTCTGAAATGTCAGGCACGTCACTGTTAGGTGTTGGAGTAGGTTCCAGGGAAAACTGAACTGTTGCTGAAAATGAGGAAGGATAAATAGATCTAGGAGAAACTACGGTGCTGTACGCTGTCACGAGGCTGGGGGAAGGGGAAACGTACAGAGGATTCAGGGATGAGGGAGATATGCCCACTCTGGAAGGGAAGGACGTGTCATAAGTTTCTGTATAGTCTTCTAGATCATATGAGTCGGAGGGCACCTTGGTGACCAGAGAATAGTCTTCTCTATCTGCATTGAAAAAAGACATTGTCTCCAAGTAGTCCCCAGACCCCCAGTCTACTTCCATGGTGTTGGTGGGGTAGAAGTCCTCTGGAGAGAGCTCTGTGGGTTCAGATGAAGGTGATGCAGGGTGGGGGGTGATGAAAGGCACCTTGTAGCCAGGAGACTGAATCTCATCTGGGTTGGGTAGCATGTTTATATCATATGCATGTTTGTTTTCCAGTGGGGGATTACTGGAGCTCAGCTGGTCTGCATGCATTGGTTTCATATGTGAGTCCTCTGCTAAAAGGTCTGTGAAAGTCTGAAATGGTGGCCCGAGAGGCCCTTCAGGTTGGAAGGTCATCCTTTTCTCAGAATTAAGCCCTAGCTGGGGTGTTGGAGAAGGCTTTACTGATGTTATGGATATATTTTCCCAAGGCTGTAGCTGGGACTTTGTTTGAGCTTCTGAGAGAGATGACCTCGCCAGCTTCCAGCCTAAGGAGAGTTCAGCTGGTCGTTGAAACTGTGGACTAGACTCCCGCACAGGTACAGATGGTCTTAAGGTTGGAGTCGTCAGAGTGTTTGGCTCTTCTGCAGAGGCATCTCTTAACATGATGACTTTGGAGTTTTCATATGCAATATGCCCCCTATGAATGTTATCAGCAGTCCTTGGTTCAGGATTGGATGGGAGGGCACCAGGTGAGTCTAGAGTCTCAAAGGCAGTATAATGCGAGTCAGGTAAGGCTAATGGTGATGATGTAGGACTTTGGATATCTCCAAGAAATCCCATGGGATCATGTGTAGAGTCCAAAGGAGATTCATCTGCAGAGGAACAAAGACAATGCTTCGTATCAGTACAGGAAACATAGGGAAAATCATATAGAGAGACAATGACTGAAAAAGAGGCTAATTCTAAAGAAATCATTTTACCATTTAATTTTTTTTGCTGAAAATGGTTGTTTCAGTAATAAAAAGACAAAGAAATACCCTGCTGAGCTTGAATCTCATATCAGCCCTATGAATCAGTAACTGTAATTTCATCCCTTGTGAATGTTTACTTTGTACTCTGGTCTGTTAACAGGAATGAAGGAGTGTGATGGAGTCAGTGTTGAATGTGTGATTTTTGCCAAAAAAATGTGTTTAAACTGTTGCACACTGAGCCAAGATGAGAGCAAACACGACTTTTCACGGCAGACAGGGAGGCTACCCACTCTAAGCCATGTTGTATAACTGGACCGGCATTGAATTAGTGAACATTGGTGTTATGTTTACTGGTGTCGAAATGGCCAACATCAACTGTATCATCTATAAGGGTTTAAAAATATATAATGGAAGGACATCATAATGGAACAGGGTCCATTATGATGTCCATTTGCAACAAACAGTGAACATGAAGACAATGCACCCGAATGAATTTATACTTACAATAAATCAATACTATATTTAAAATAGCTTGATCAGATTTAAATTTCAGATCGATAAAGTGGAGATAGCTTCCCAGAAAACCTTTCGACTGTATGTCACCTAAAGCCTGTACATAGATCAGTTCTTATCAGTATCAGACTCCTGAGAAAAATAATTAGACCCAGTCACTAGTTTAACTCTCCTTTGCTTAAGTGGCTACAAACAAACAAAAACCAAAAACGAAAGAAAACGTCATTAGAATAAAAGAGCAAGGACGGTCTCACAGGCTAATGATGTGAAAATCATTGGGGAAGCAAAGAAAAGCCGACAGATTTCTTTGGTTCCAGTTGTGAATATGCTGACATACACGCACAGACCATATGTTTTAAGATTTTACCAATGAACTCTCGAGAGTGCATTTAAGACCCTTTTTCATGGCACCTGATCTCGAACTGATGGATGGTGCAATTTTCAGCTCATCAGCAAGCCCCTCTACAGCGTGCACACAACATTAAAATCATTAAGGCCGACTTTTGAGCAGTCAAAATGCAGAAATAGCAAATGCCGCTTACGCAACGCATTTCAAACTCTATTTAGGTGCCAAAGCACTCCATATTGCGTAACAAAGTACATGCACATCATGCATGATTTAATTTGGGAAGAGTCTTGATTACAAGCCACTGCCTGGCATATTTAACACTGCCTACATGAACTGGAACAATTCTTTAATTATTAATGGAAAATAGATGTTTTACACTTATCTGCATATGTTTGCCTCTTTCATATACCCAAATATGTTTCACCAACCTCAATGCATGGCAGTCTTACTAACACTGTGCAAGAATTTAACAATGTCAGTTAAACATAACTATTATCCATTACCAGCCTTGTTGCTAATAGTGGCCTATTAGCAAATCAAATGATTTTACCAGTGTTAATGGCAGCTGTTTATCTGTTGTGATGATTTAATTGTCCACTGACTGAACTGACTGAAAAACACGGTTATAAAAATGAAGATGTCTTTGTATCACGAGTTTATGGCGGAAAATCATCACAACAAAACAACCACAGATAATCAGAGACCGGATGACTTAGTGTGCCTGCTTACAATAAATGATATGTTTATTAATGCTGTTGGGTTTATGGATAGCTAAATGACTTGATGCAAGGCTCACGTCTGCACTGAGCCTTACAAACAAACTCTTTTCAATAAACTTGGTGCAGACTGTAAGTCTTAAATTTGTCACTGAAAGTAGGTCTTGAACAGAGCAAGACTTCAAAGGCACCATTGTTGTCATTGCCAGAAGCTAGCCACCAACAGCCTCTACATAGTGACTCAGCAGCAGCTGCAAAGGCTGCTGCTTTTTGTAGTTCACAGACGCTCTGCAGAATCATGCACTCTTGAAAATAGCCACAGAATAAGCTAAGGGAGAAGACTATTTTTAACAGCGCTAGTGCAGATCGCATTGCTTAGCAAAAACATCAACAAAAATGAATGCATTTTGGGGCCATCATCTTCAATTTACTGCATCGAGTCATACAAGCAGACGCCTCTGGCTTGGCCCAGGAGAAATCTCGTAGCTTAATTATAACCTACGCTGGTACCTTAATCAAGTCAACATGCTAGCATAACAGAGCATGCTGGAAAGGACTTGGAAAAGAAAAGCCAAGTCTTTCTTCTGTGAAGGCTAGTCTGTGTTGCACATTTTCCAAGATTCTTGGTTTCTGTGCCAAATCTTTGAACCCACAGGGATGTAACACACAGCTGGGCAGACGCATGTGTACACTGCACTGAGCACACAATAACAGGAGAAACACTAAAATAGAAGGACTCGCGGCATCTAGTCATCTAGTCTCTACAGAGAACACAGCAGAGAAATGAAAGTCATTCTACAGTGGCAGCAAATCTTTTATAGGTAACTGTGAGAAAGATGCTATTTTAACTGCTAAATAACTCTTAATTAAGTCAAACTCATTTGGCTGTGAACAAAAAGATGTTTGGAGCTACAGATATATAAAACAAGAAGCAAAGACAGTGCAGACAAGCTTTATATAAGAGCATGTTGGAAAACAATGCTGATGTTTGAGGTCACGCTGTTAAACAAGACCTCAAACTGTCACCTCAGCTCAACACACCATTACAGCGACACAGGGTTTCATATACAGTCACATTTGTGATTATTAACCAAGAACAGATTACTGACAAAAACATCTAACACAAAAACAATGATTGACAGGAGAATGATGATAACAATGATAACTGCAGAGATGTCGGCGATGGTGATGATGATAATTATCACGGTGGAAAGTAAAGACAGGATGAAGGAAAATGGACAGCCAACATTTAATTACTGATGTATTAGAACAAATCTAACAACACTAAATTGCAAAAGCTGAATTACAAACATACAAAAAATCGACTGTCTATCTGTAATACTTAAATATGCACAGTCTACATACTTGAAGGCTAATCTTTGATGACACCCTCGGCTCAGTGTGACAGACAGCAGCCCGAGTTAGGGCTAACATTACAGAGCGCAAAAAAAATGAACAATGGACTAGAAGGCTATCGTGCGCTACCACCTGTTCCCTGAAAGAGGAGCGCGTCACACTCGGCTGGCCGCTCATTGCTCGGCCTGCCTGTGAAATGATTAAGCACTGAGACACGTGCAGATGGACACCTCCGCGCACCAGGTCAGGAGAGCATAAATGTCAAGTCCTCAGCAAACGTACATGACAGTGTCCCAGTTTCTCTTCTCCCTTTCTAATCTCACTCCCCCACCTACAGCAGTCACCTTTTTAAAAAAATTATTATTTCCAATGTTTATTTTGACGATATACCCTTATTTTACTGCCAATGAAGCTAATCACAGACACAGGACGGACTGAACCAGCGAATACGTCGCATTACTCATCATGTAGGAATCAGAAATTCCATTTATTCATTGCAAATCATAAGTTAGTAACATCCCAGTAATTCCAGCTCATCGGATCTCAGTGTCCCTTTTAGCCCAGATTTTCTCTGAGCTAAAAAGGCTTAAAGTGCTCATACACTTAAACAAATGTGGATTTGGCCGTTAACCTGTTTCACTACAACAACAACAGTGATTGCAAACTTTTAAGTGGGGGCATTTTCTCCTTGCATTAAGCAAACCTTACAGATAAATTGTGCAGTATTTTATACCTGCACAATTGGTGTGGAGCATTGTACATGTACAATGACAATAAAGACTGTTCCATTCTATTCTATTCTAATTTAACATACAGAATCTGCTGATTGCTTTTCATCAACAACAGGCGCTTGAGTGAAAACTTTTCCATATTCAAGCAAGTGATGGCACAAAAATAGCACTCTTTCTGTGATCTGGATGGTTTGTTCAGCTTCCGTTTATACAGGCAGCTCTGGGGTTGAACGACTGCCAGCAATCATGTAAAAAAGGTTCTGACAAGAGAGGGATTATTACCGATGGTGGCTGATGTAATGATCCTCTCTAAAATCCCTCCAATCAAAAACAGAAGAGACTGCACTCAAGGCAGAACCTACTTCAAGATTTTTAAGTAGCATCAGACCAGTGACCAGTGTGCAGGTTGCATAATCAATTATACATTTATCCATTTTAGCCAAACTGCACAAAAAGCTGGTTGATTTGTACGAGCATGATGCAGCGATAAAAGTTTAAATATTTTATGCAGCATTTTTATTTAAACCGTCAGATAAACATAATTTTAAGGAATTTTGAGTGATTGCAAATTTGAATGATTCTCTGTTTTGAATTAAGTTTACAGACTAAAAGTGTAAAAAGGAGAAAAGATAACAACGTACAATAACCGTACTTTACACACACAATAGTAAAGCCTACATCATGAACACACACACACACACAAAAAGGAAATCCTCCAAGTAAGCTGAAATGTGATTTTGCCTTCGGTGTCTGCTTATGAAAACAGTTCCCAGGGCCCAAACAAAGAGCTGATAATGCCTCTCAGCAGACAGCACTGCGCTGGAACTGAATCGGAGAAAATACCTTTCACTGGTCTCCTTTACTCAGCCAGACTCGAGGCTCACATAGACTGAAAAATGCATTTTAGAATTATGCTTTTACATTTTCCACATTGTTTTTTATTAAAAATGTATAATGTAAACTAAGAAAGATATTTATAAAAAAGTGGCAAACCCAATCCATTATAATTGAACTGCACACACACAATGCTGAAGCTCATAATAATTAAAACAAACCGATCCTGCTAGCAGAAATGTTATTTTGACATTCCTGTCTTCACATGAAAACAGATCCCAAGGCCCAAAGAGGGGACCTAATAATGCCTGTCAGCAAACAGCACTCTTGTTGACGTCTGGAACAGAATCAGAGAAAATACCTTTCACTTGGCTCCTTTATTCAACGAGACACTGTGCTCAC